ATGAAGGGTCTAGGCCCGAAACGCCAGCCTTCCTGCTCCTATGATGCTGCTTGGCCTGCTGTGTTCATCCAGCTCTACACCTTGTTATCTTAGTTTGTGGTATTGACTGGTTTGTAAAAAGTGAAGAACTTGGTTAGTCAACCTGCTCATTCATTTCACCTCATTATACTTTCCTAACTTAAATTCATTTACACTTGAAGTCATATTGTGTCTTGGTAACTTAAACTTGAACTTAACTTGCTAGCTTGGTAATGTAAAGTAATTTGTGCTTTATTGCCTCTAACAAATTGGACATTTTGGAAAAGTGATACCTGGCCTGGTGATGCACTGAGGCCACACTGGAGCATTACAGGTCCAGTACATATTATATGCAAAAGTATAGATTGTACTGTAGCTACTGCCTTGTCTTGTGACTTTGCTACGCTATTTGGATAACTAGTTATGAATTTGAATTTTTAGTATCAGTTATGTAATTTAAACATTTTAAAGTGTCAACCTTCTCCCTTTTAACATTGCCCTCCACATAAACAGCATGACCCGTTTGTGCAAGTATCAATGTGATGCTCCATAGAAGTCCAAATCCATGGATTTGATCAATATTACTGTTCTTCTAATAGACCTCTGATGTTGGATGACGGCAATTCTGATCCTCCTGTGTCTAAATACGGTCGACAACTATCAATAGAACCTCTTCAGGATCCATATTTCATTCAGTCGGTAAGTGAAGTGCGGCTGGCATCAAAGCAACAGCATTACAAAGTCTGGTTGGTATTATACTATTCATCTCTATGTGGAGGTTCTGTTTAGTCTGGCTTAAGTGGGATAACAAAGAGGTTCTTTGTAAAGAACAATGATAACACACTGTGATGCATATAAGGATCTTATGTCCCTGATAAGCCTGTGCATCTGAGTGACTTGCATTATACAGTAACTCAAATTTCTTTCTCCCTCCTATAACTCAGTTTTTCTCCTAAAAGAGCTGATTCTTGATGGGTCTATGCCTATGAAAAGTATTTTGTTACCTCACCCGAGTGTCTATTCTTGTGTGACCCTAGATAATGGGGAACTATGTGTGCTACAATGCATCTGAACCCAATACCATACTTAGTTGTGAAGTATGCACTTTCACATTATGGCAGCCTTTATTTCCCGTTCTCAATAAATGTTCAGACACACCTGAGGCTCTGGTTATATTGGTGATAGATGTTTTAGAATTATTGATGATGTTCCCATGCTAATATTGTTGTATTGGTCACTGTCCTTACTCCCAGCTGTCCTCAGAAGCCGCCTCCTGTTCCAGTACCTATACTAATAGTCCTCAACCTAGTGGACCGATAATTTCTGATGTGACGGAGTTGCCCCCATCCAGCTCTGCAGCCCTTGCGTCTGGCACAGAGCAGCAAAGGTGAGCCAGTAGAAACATTCAGTCAAGAAGAAACCATTGGAACTGCTTTGCAATCTCTGTGAATGAAAATAGGCATCTTAGTTCACATTGGTCACTTTGCTGCCAGTGTGAAATATGGGCTCTGCACCAACATGGAAAAGCTCGAATACACTTTCAAACTGAGTTCCACACTGTATGTAGGGCAATGGAAATTGTCATGCAAATTGGGGAAAAGTAATCCCTTTACTCTTCACTTAATCAAATTCCCTGTGTGAAAATTGGAGATAAGGGACTGGACTTTGCTCAGCAGTAGCACTGTTGCCTCTGAGCCATTACAAAATGGGCATTTACACGTTTGAGTGTTAGTTGGTTGCTAGTTCAGGCCTCACTCCAGAAAGTGGACTACGATCTGGACAATCAATACCGAGGGAGTGCCGCACTTGGCATGGCCTCCTTTCGAATTAGGCATTAGCTGCTGTCAGCTGGACTTCATGGGTACCATGACATTATTTGTAGAAAAGCCAGGAGGTGACTGTAGTATCCCGGCCAATTTTTATCCCTCAATCAAAGCCTAAAACAGATTACCTGATCATATTCACAATGCTGCTTTTTGGGAACTTGCTGTGTGCAAGTTGGCTACTGCATTTCCTAATTTGCAACAGTGATTATGTATGTAATAGGCTATAAAGCATTTACAAACATCCTGTGGTCAGGAAAGATGCTATATAAATGAAAGTCTTGCTTATTTAAAAAGGTCACATTAATAAACTCTTAGTGATTGCCAGGGAATATTATCCACAGTGCTGGTTAAAAATTGACATCAAGTTACAGAAGATTCTAATTAGTTATATCCTGAGTTTCATCCATGTAACAATATAGGGGAGTTCTTGTATCAGTAATCTGTTTCTGTTTATAACGGAAAACTGAAATATTCCTAACTCAGTATGTGTGAAGTTGAACAGACCATTCAGAAAGTGGGAAGGGGAGGGATGCATGTGGTCTGTAGTCTAAATGCGACAGTGCTTTTTTTTAAAATTAAATTTCATGAGAAAAAATTAAATTGTGTTCCTACATCTGCCGTTTTGCACCTTCAAATTTGTGCATGGTTTTCCACGCAAAGATACAGCCTAAAACAGGCAGCATTTGGCGTCCAATTAACTCCTGCACAGATATATCTCAAGGGAATCTAGACAGAGCAGATCATAGCAAAAGGAACAAGCTATTTAGCTCGTTGAGCCTGTTCTGGCATTTATTTAGATTTTAAGCCATCTGTATGTGGCACAGAATGACATTTCAGGTGGCTAGGAGGCACCTGCTGTTTATGAGCAGGGAGCCCTCTCAACTGCTATCCTGGATCGAGGATAATGCACTGTCACTGGGATCATATTGGCAATCCTGGTGCCAGTGCAGATCTTGGTGCATCTGCTGTCTCTGATTCTGGCATGTACAGGGGAGAAAACCACTGCCTCCAGGCTTTGCCACAGGAGATTCAGGCTCCAGCTGAATATGCTGAAATATTAAATCTTCGTATCGCAATAACATTTGTCATGTGACACTATGATGATGGGGTAATAGTTCCCCTAAAATTGCTATTTGCTGACTGTGGCCCTTAAGCTGATTTCTGTGTCGCTGATTTAATAAGGGATCATCAACTCAATTTTTCCGCTGTCTCGATGTGTAGGGAGAAATGCCTGATGGTGATTAAGGAGGAGCCAGCCAGTCCAGGGGTAGGAGTCCAGGTCCAAGCAGACACAGTGGTTCCAAGGAATCCATGTAGTGCATGTCTGGAACCACCTGTTTTACCAGTGTCCATTGTGGAGTCTGTTCTGGAGGGCAGGCCCACCTGCAACACAGTGCAGCACCTGGATAAGAGAGGAAGGATGGCTGCATTAGACAGGTGAGGCTTCACTCAGCGCTGAGAGCTCAAATAGCAGTGAGCAGTATGGAGCATTTTGTCCCTTTTCTAGTGTTTCACTACAGGAATTAACTTGCACTGTATAGTTACAACAGAAAAAGTGCAGATTACTGAGTCCCTTCATAAGACCCAAAAATCAGGAACAGAAGTCTGTCATTTGATAAAATCATGGCTGATCTACAACTTGAATTCAACTTCCCTCCCCGGCACCATATCAATTGACTCCCCAGATCCCAATATGTATCAACGTTTTTTATATCCTTGCATGAACACAACCTGAGCACCCAGATGCGCATGCACACAGCATTCACAACAAGGTTAGTGATCTAAAAGTACAAATAGAGACACGTGCATGTGATCTAATTGCCATTTCAAAAATGTGGCTGAAAGGTGACCGGGGAGAGGGGACTAAATATTCAAGGATAATCAACCTTTAATAAGGACAGACAAGAGGAAAAGGAGGTGGAACTGTGTTGATAGTAAAGGATGGGATTGGTACATTAGTATGGAAGGATTTCTAATTGGAAGAAAAATGTGCGGAATTTGACTGGATGGGAATAAGAAACACGAAGGGACAGCAGACTTTGATTGGAGTTACTTATAGGCCACCAAATAGTAGTGGTCATGTGGGGCACGGTATTAACTAGGAGATGAGAAGCTTGTAGTATGTGCAACACAGTTACCCTGGTGATTTCAATCTAACTGAGGACTAGAGCTGCGGAGGATGAATTTTGGGAGTGTGTTAGGTATGATTTTCTAGAGTAGGACCCAACCAGAGGACATGCTATTTTAGATCTCGTATTAAGTCATTAAATAGGACTAATTAATAATCTTGTTATAAAATAACCTTTAGGGATGAGTGATCACAATATCACAGAATTTTACATTGTGTGTAAATGAGATAATTCAATCTGAAGCAAGGATGTTGAATTTGAAAAAGGAAAATTATAAGGGCATGAGGTACAAAGAGGCTGTGGTGGAGAAAGAAAATACATTAACAGGCTTTACGGTACATAGGCAATGGACAATCTTTTCTTAAAAAAGTACGACTGCGTGGCTCACTGCTACTATTCATTCCTTCAAGTTGTAAAAACTCAAAAAAGTAAGTCAACCATGGCTAACAAAAGATATTTAGGATTGTATGAGATGAAAAGAGAAGTTCTATAAAATTGCCTCAAGTAACAGTTGCTCTGAGGATCGGAAGGTTTACAGACAACAAACGGAGAAAATGAATGATGAGAAAGGGGAGAATAGAGTATGAATTCAATCTAACAAAGAACATAAAAACAGACTGTAAAAGCTCCTATAGGTTTGTAAAAAGGAAATGTTTGGCTAAGGCCTGGGTCCATTAAAGAGAGAATCAGGAGAATTTATGTTGGGGTGTAGGGAAATAGTTGAGAAGCTAAATGATTATTTTATATCAGCTGTCACTGAGAAAAGTATCAGAAATCTCCCCAAACTGGAGATCCATTGTTAGGGTGAACGAGGGGTTGAAGGGAATTAGCATTAGAAGAAGATTGTACTGGAGAAATTAACGGGATTGAAAGTTGATCAATCCCAGGACCTGATGGTCTAGCTCTCAGAGTGTTGAAGGAGGTGACTACCGAGATAGCCAATGCATTGGTGATTACTTTCCAAGAATCAGTACATAGGTGCTAGCTATTCACAATATATATCAATGATTTGGAGTTGGAGATCAAATGTAATCTTTCCAAATCTGTGCAAAGCTAAGTGAGAATGTGTGTTGTCAGGAAGATGTAAAGTGAGGATTTGGACAGGCTTAGGATTTGAACAAGCAAAGGACATGGAAAATGGAATACAATGTGGAAAGATGTAAGGTTATGCACTTAGGAGGAGAAACAGATGTGCAGAGTATTTCTTAAATGGTGTAAGGTTGGAAAGTGTAGTCGTTCAATACACCTAAGTATCTTTGTCAATAAGTCACTGAACATGTAAGTGCAGCAAGCCATTAGGAAAGTTAATGGAATATTAGCATATATTACAAGATGATATGAGTTCAGGAGTTGTGAAGTCTTGCTTCACTAGTACCAGAGCTTGTTTGGACTGCATGTGAAGTGCTATGTGCAGTTTATGTCTCCTTATCTCAGGAAAGATATTATTGCCATAGAGGGACTGCAACAAAAGTTCACCACACTTGTCCCTGGGATGGCAAGATGGTCCTATGAAGAGAAATTGGGTAAACTGGGTCTGTATTCTTAAGAAATAGCAAGAACTGCAGATGCTGGAGTCAGAGATAACAAAGTGTGGAGCTGGAGGAACACAACAGGCCAAGCAGCATCAGAGGAACAAGAAAGCTGACGTTTCAGGTCAGGACCAGGATAGTCAGAGATGATGAAGTTAAATGTTTTCCCTGATTGAGGAGTTGCGAATCGAGGAGAATTCGCAAGTATAAGGGGGATGCCGCTTTGGCCTGAGATGGGGAGAATTTTTTTAGTCAGAGGCTTATGAACCTTTGGAATTCTGCACTATAGAAGGCTGTGGAAGCAAAATATATTTAAAGTAGAGGTTGATAGATTTCTGATTTTCCCCATAATCTTGTATATCATTGGTAAGGTATGTGAAATAGATTGAAGTGACTGATCAGCATGAATGTATTGAATGGGGGGGCGCAGGCGTGATGGGCTGGATGGCCTACTCCTGCTGGTATGTTCCACAGGCCAAAAATTTCAATGATCAACAACTTTCTACATGAAAACATTTTTGTTGAACAACCCTTGACAAGCCCCCCAGAATCTTCAGTTTCAATGGAATCACCTCTCATTCTTCTAAATTCCATCAAGTTTAAGCCCAATTTTTTCAAACCTCTTGCCATATGACAAGCCTTTCATCATAAAAATTAATTTGCTGGATCTCCACTGCACTGCCTCCAAGGCTAGGCAAGGTGAGACAGGTCGAAGGAGTGCAAATTACTTTAGGTGTGGTCTCATCAGCAACCTGTATAATTGTAGGACAACATCCTATTTGCTTTCCTACTTTCTGAATTACCTGCATGCTAACTTTGTGTTTCTTTTACAAGGAGAGACAAATCTCTCTGAACATCAACATTCTTAAATTTTGCATCATCAAGGAACTTGCATACTTCCCAACTTGCACAATTCCCAATACTTTCACCTAAGTCATTACTATAAATTAAAGTCCATTGTATTAAACCCAGTGGGACCTGGGTTTAACTCTTTAAACATAACATTAAAAGGGACTCCTGTGGCCAAATTTGGAAGTGCTGTACCTGATGGAGGTTAACTACATTAATTTCTCCCAGGGATCAGTTAGCTCATTTGGCTGGACACTTGGTTTGCAATGCACAGTGATGCCAACAGTTCAACTCGCACACTAGCTGAGGTCACCGTGAAGGTCCCATCTTCTCAACCTCTCCTCTGGTCTGAGGCGTGGTGACCCTTGGGTTAAGTCATCACTGATCATGTCTCTCATGAAAGAGCAGCCCCACAGTCTGGTCAGGCAATGGAGACTTTACCTTTGCCATTCAATTACTGTATGTTGAAGAAAACACTCCCTCACTGTTTTAATCTCCATCCCTTATTAAGGTCAATCCAAGTATACAACATTTCTAATCTCTAATTTCCTTTGTTCTCATGTTTCTTCTGCAGCTCCACATTTTTGTTTTCTTTCTGTGCACTTCTGTAGTGATTACAATCGGTAGAAGACATACCATTAGTGTTTCAATGTGTAACCATCACAAGATGCAAATGGAGTATCTTTTCCCTAACTTTCATTGTGAAATGTGCACAGCCTCCACTTAACTTGCAATGAGGGGAAAAAAAAAATCCAGGATCTGATGTGTAAAGTGTAGTGTCTGCATCACACGCCCTTCCTTGACCTGAAACACTGCTTAGGGTGACAACATGCCCTGAATGTTGTGTGCTTTAAATAGCCTTTGACTGTACAATGGTAAAAATCCTACATGCAATGACTGCTACATTTTTCAAGTTTCACGAAAAAGAACAAAGGAAATGGATAATCACAAAGTAGCATCCTGTAGATATTGGAAATATGTTCAGTGAAGCTCAAAGTAACCTTGAGAATCAGCACGTCATCTTTCATGAGGCTGTCCATAATCCACATTGAGTTCAACAATTTAGACTATAATCCAGTATTGTTTCCTTTTCTTTGAGTATTTCAGGTTTTCCTTTCTTCCTCCTCCTTTATTTTTGCTTCCAGTCCACTTCACACCTGCTCTAGACTTATCTTTTTAGTTTATTTTCCCTTCTCCATTCCCTTTGGAGGAATAAATGTCAGTCATTCATTCTGTTGTCTTTCACCCAATCATAGACTGTCCTTCTGTTCTTGACCCAACCACTCCTTGTTCCAACTTTTCATATCTTAAACATGTCCCAGTTCTGAGGAAAGGTCCTTGCCTGAAAAATTAACCCTGTTCCGCTCTTCACAGATGCTGTCTGACCTGATAAGTGTTTCCAGAAATGTTTTTGTTTGTAAAGGAAATGAATTGTGAAAAATAAACAGAAATGAAATTAACACAAGCTATGTAAGAATATGACGTAAAAAGCAATGGAAGGATATGGTGATGGGGTTGTATAAAGTTGACAAAGAGGAAACTTCCATGGATCATAAATGCTAGCATCAACCAGTTGGGCTGAATGGTCTGTTTCTGGGCTGCAAATTCTAAATTGCTTGAAAATGCCAATCATGCTCTCCGATTGTAATCATTGACAGCTGTTCAATGCCTGTCACTGCTCACTTTGTAAAGAATTCTTTTGGGTTTACAGGACTGAGGTGCCTGAGCACATGCAGAGCATTGAGTTGAACCTGGATGGCTTGCATTCGTTGCTTGGGAGCCAGCAGTACAGCCTAGAGCACTCAAGCATCATGCACGTAAGTACTGGGCCAACGCACCACCCAAATAGGATTCAAAACTGGATGTGAAAATGCTCTTTAAATATTCCGAAATATTTCCTCCTGAAAGCTGAGGTGTTGGTTAACTCTAAATAAAGTCCAGTTGCTCCTCCACTGATGTGCTGAGGCTGCAGCATGTACTAACCACAGAATCCACAGTAGAAACTCACTAACTAGTTTCTAAATCTCACCTAGATGGACAAGGGCATCGGGCATGTGAGAATACCACCTCCCAGTCAGGATGGTATGTGTTGTGGAGAGGCTGGTGTTTCCATGCATCTGCCAACTTCATCCTTCTGGGGTCTGGAAGTTGCAAGAGATCAAGAGATTTTTGAACTTTCTTGCTCGTTCCCGATGTTTATTCTTGCCTCACGCGTGATGAATGAGCAACTCAGCTTATCACGATTGCAATCCTGCTTCATTGTTTTGGATGGAGGGAGAGAAACTGAAGTAAAACCAGCAGCATCCAGAAAGAGCAGTAGATGGGCCTAATGGACAACAGGCGTCGACAGGAGCTGTTCATTGATTGTCCACATCAGGTCATGGGGCTAGTGGGAATAAAAAGTGACCATGTGAGAACACAGCTTTGTTAATGGCTGCTGTGAAGGCAGCAAGTGTTTATCCAGGGTAAGAGATGGTAAAATGTGAGGTTGTTGACTTGCTCGTCGAGCTGGCTCATTCTCGTTCAGATGTTTTGTCACTACGCTAGGTGATATCATCAGTGGAACCTCTGATGAAGCAATGTTATTCTACTCTGCTTGGAATTTATACTGTCTGGTACGTCATGGTGAGTATGAACGAGAACAAGCCAGCTCGGCGAGCAAGTCAACAACCTCACCCACAACCCAAGTTACAGATCTTTGCCAAAACTTTAGATGGTAAAATGTGCCCATGGGATTAATAAATCAGCAGCTCAGAAGGGCATTGATCTGAGTGCAGGGTCGGGGGTGGGGTGGATAGATGGTGAGCTAGGAGTGATTGAGAAGGGATGGAGAAGTAGCAAGTTGTGTTTACTTTTGGTGCTCTTGTCAGGTTGAAGCCTTTCCCACAATGAATTCAGATCTGGGCAGGATGCTCCTGGAATAGGCCATCTCTGTAATGAGGAAGCGTTTTGGTTCAATCCGAAAGAACTGCAGATGCTGTAAATCAGGAACAAAAGCAGAAGTTGCTGGAAAAGCTCAGTAGGTCTGGCAGCATCTGTGAAGAAAAAATCAGAGTTAACGTTTCAGGTCCGGTGACTCTTCCTCAGATTACTGATTTTTTTCTTCACAGATGCTATCAGACCTGCTGAGCTTTTCCAGCAACTTCTGTTTTTGTTCCTGCATTTGTAATTGCTTAGGTTCCTTAGATCTGCTTAGAATTGGATACACTAGAACTTGTGACATGACAGACTTTCTTGTTGGATCTCAATGTCTCTTCTTGCTGTCCCTTTCGCGATATTTCATTTTGTTGCTGAGTAATAATGACTATCCCCCAACAGTGCAGCCTGCTAGATTTCGCTGTGTTATTTCCTGACTGTGCAGCACCACAGTAAGAGAAAAGTAAATATCTGTGAATGAATAAACAACTCCTTTCATTTTCTAAATGCAGATCTTCAATCCAAACCTTCCTTTAAGTGAGCTGAACCTGACTGACATGGAGGCAAACCTTGCAATGGTAAGGGTAGGTGTGGAACAAAATATTTTGTGCAGACATTGGTGTAAAGATTTGATTTAAACAAGAATTCGCTGTTTTGCGTTCCATTTCCTCACTCTGCAATCTTCATAACGTGTATAAATCTCTCTCAGCAATCCAGGGCTAGTAAGGAGAATAATAATTAAACATTCCTGCTTTCTTCCCCTCTGGTCAGGAATAGTGTCTGGAAACAATTTTGCCTTTCATTCATAAGTTTGTAGGCTTAAGTGCAGCTCCAGCAATTGATATCAAATTCAAGGCCAGCACTTTAATGTAGTACTATAGGAGTGCTGCACAATTGGGACAGCTGGCTCTCAGATAAGACATTAGACCATAAGATATAGGAGCAGAATTAGGCCATTCAGTCCACTGAGTCTGCTCTGCCATTCAATCATGGCTGACATGTTTCTCACCCCACTCTCCTGCCTTCTCCCTGTAACCTTGGATATTGAAGCAACTGTCTCTCGGATGGACAAAAAAGATTCAATTTCACGATATGAAAGAAGAGTTGGAGAGTTATTGCTGGTATTCTGATCAACATTTATCCTTCAATCCATACAACAAAAGTAGTTTATCTGGGAATTTACATTTTGCTACTTGTGGGAGCTTGCTGTGTACAATTTGACTGCTGTTTTCTCTGCTTTAAACCATTGAATGCAGATGAAAAGTTCTTCATTAGCTGAGAAGTGTTTTGGGATGTCCTATAGTTTTGAAAGACAAAGGTACTTTTTTAATATTGACAAGGCAACTACTTTTGATACTCATCCTGAGTTGTCCTGTGAAAGTGGCAGCCCACTAGGTGAGAGAGATCATCAAGTAGACAAGGATTGTGGACTAGAGAAATCTTTCAACCAGATGGTACTGTATATGAATGCCAGGTTTCCTTTTGTGATCAGCAGTTGGATTTTCACAACAAACAGAACCTTTAATTTTATCTGGTATATCCTATAATTACCAGGTTAATAAAATCAACCCAGTGACCTGCTATGATGGACCTTCAATATGTACTTGCTGAGGTTGGTCCCAAACCTCAGTGACCACTAGAGAATTATAGAATGTCTACAGAACTAAAGGAGGCTGTTCTCTGAGAGCAATCCATTTAATCTCTGTCAGTTTCCCTGGAGTCTTGCAATATTTTCTTCAAAAAAGTGCTGCATATCCAATTCATCCTTGAAACCCTTGTGCTTCTACCACACTCTCAGAAAATGTATTCTACATCTGAACCACTTGCTGCATAATAAAAAAAATTCCTCATGTTGCTATTAGCTCTTTTGCCATAAACCTCAAATCTATATCAACTCTTCTGCAAAAGAGAAAAAATTCTCTCTTGCTGCTCATTTCATCCTTCTCTAAGAAGAAAATCTCCTGCTTTTCCAATAACCTACCCACCATAACTGAGGTCCCTCAATTCTGGGATCATTCTGATTAAGCTTCTGTGCATTTTTTCAAAAGCAAACATATCCTTAAAGTGTTGCGCTCAGAAGTGACATGATACTGCACTTGAAATGGAAGGAGTGTTTAGTAGTTTCATCCTAACTCCCTTGCTTTATTACCCTCTTCCTCTGTTTCTAAAATCCAGGATGCTGGACAGCATACAAGATACATCATGCACCAGTGATACAACAGTGCAGTTGTATATTCAACAAATATACATGCTGACACTTGAATCCATGAATTAGCTTTTCCATCAAATCTTCTAAGGGAATCTTAGCTGGCCTAGAACTGGCTAACAATTTGATGTTTAAAGATTACCAAAATTCACTGGACTCTGGGGTGGTTCCCGAAGATTGGAAAACAGCCAATGTGACGCCACTGTTTAAAAAAGGAAGTAGACAAAAAGCAGGTAACTATAGGCCAGTTAGCTTAACTTCGGTAGTGGGGAAAATGCTTGAATCTATCATTAAGGAAGAAATAGCAAGACATCTGCATATAAATTGTCCCATTGGGAACACCCAGCATGGGTTCATGAAGAGTAGGTCATGTTTAATAATTTGGTGGAATTCTTTGAGGACATTACTTGCATGGTGGACAATGGGGAACCTGTGGATGTGGTGTATCTGGATTTCCAGAAGGCATTTGACAAGGTGCCACACCAAAGGCTGCTACATAAGATAAAGTTGCACGGTATTACAGGTAATGTATTGGCATGGATAGAGGATTGGTTGATCAGTAGAAAGCAAAGAGTAGGGGCTTTTCTAGTTGGCGGTCAGTGGCTAGTGCTGTGCCTCAGGGATCAGTGTTGGGACCGCAATTGTTTACAATTTACATCGATGATTTGGAGTTGGGGACTAAGTGTGGTATGTCAAAATTTGCAGATGACACTAAGGTGAGTGGTAGAGCAAAGTGTGCAGAAGACACTGAAAGTCTGTAGAGGGATATAGATAGTCTAAGTGAGTGGGCAAAGGTCTGGCAGATGGAGTACAATGTTGATAAGTGTGAGATCATCCATTTTGGTAGGAATAACAGCAAAATGGACTATGTTTTAAATGGTAAAAAAATTGTAGCACGCTGCTGTGCAGAGGGACTTGGGTGTCCTTGTGCATGAATCGCTAAAAGTAGGATTGCAGGTGCAGCAGGTAATTAAAAAGGCAAATGGAATTTTGTCTGCCATTGCTAGAGGGATGGAGTTTAAAAACAGGGAGGCTATGCTGCAGCTGTATAGGGTCCTGGTGAGGCCACACCTGGAGTACTGTGTGCAGTTTTGGTCTCCTTACTTGAGAAGAGATATACTAGCACTGGAGGGGGTGCAGAGGAGATTCACTCGGTTGATTCCAGAGTTGAGAGGGTTGGATTATGAGGAGAGACTGGGTAGACTGGGATTATACTCATTGGAATTCAGAAGAATGAGGGGAGATCTCATAGAAACATATAATATTATGAAGGGAATAGATAAGGTGGAGGCAGGGAGGTTGTTTCCACTAGCAGGTGAAACTAGGACTAGAGGGCATCGCCTCAAAATAAAGGGAAGCAGATGTAGGACTGAGGTCAGGAGGAACTTCTTCACCCAAAGGGTTGTGAATCTGTGGAATTTCCTGCCCAGTGAAGCGGTTGAAGCTACCTCGCTGAATGTTTTTAAGGCAAGGCTAGATAAATTTTTGAACAGTAAAGGAATTAAGGGTTATGGTGAGTGGGCGGGTAAGTGGAGCTGAGTCTCGAAAAGATCAGCCATGATCTTATTAAATGGCGGGGCAGGCTCGAGGGGCTGGATGGCCTACTCCTGCTCCTAGTTCTTATACCGAACAGGAGCACAATATTACACTCTAATATTACATTATATTGAATTATATATAGGACCTGAACAGGATTTGTTTTAATATTTTATCAGGGCATTTACAAGATAACAGACAACCCGTCCTCACTTCTTCAGAGATGGGAAAGATTACATTACTGATTAAATAGAGAAGCATTCTCCACATTTAAAACAATCTTAGAATAATATGACACAACAGAAAGCCTGTGATGACCCTTTAAAAGAGTTATCTGATTAGTTTCACTTCACTTCTCATTCTTCATTGTCCTACAAATCTTTCCTTTACAGGATTTCACCAGAATGAATGAAATTGAACATATTTGCTTGTTTAAATTAAACAAACAATACTTAGTGGAGATTACAAAATATAGACATCGGCCCCTGCTTTTAAGTTTTTTGTTAAGCATCCATTTTTCAGAGAGTTTCTCATTTTTATTGTCTGCAAATAAAGCTTCTTCTTTGATTTTCGATCTTAACATAGGCAGGACTGGGAGTGTGCTGACAGCTTCTATAATGTCCAGTGGCAGGTTTATGCATCCCTAACATTGCTGGCATGATTCGATGAATGGTATTGGCGCTGCAATTAAAGCCAGGCTACTGCCCTCTGATACAATAAATTGTTAAACCAGTTGCAAAACATGGTACTTACCTCTTGTAAGATTCAATAATCACATCATGGTTTGCCTAACAGGTACCGTGCCTCCTCCTAAGTGGGAAACCAACTTTCTTATTCTCGTCTGTGCCTTGTAATTTCCCAGATTCAGAAACTGATTGTGGATCCAGAGCAGAGGCTGACTGAACCGTCCAACAAAGCCCTGAAAACTGGAGAAAGCTCAGGTAAATCAGCAATCCTTTTAAACTGTGTGTAAAGTCTCTTCAGAAGATAAACAGATTTAAGTCTAGAATGCCTTTCTCATCACCACTAACTGACCTCAGATTTAACATGTGGCAACACATTCAAAATCTCACAATTTTAAAAGTGCAAACATCAAATGTGGTCAATGCAAGAACTTTGCAAGAGCTATAGTCCATGCAATCTGTCCTGCACTAGCATTAAAAATAAAGCACTTAAATATTTGACAACTGGGTCTTTTCCGGAATTTTGTCTGTTTTCATGTGAACAGAAAGAACGGTCCAAAAGAGCAACGTGTGAGAAAGCTAAGACTGTCCTCGGGCTTCTTTCATTCTTTTGATCTACTATCAGAGCAGTGTCATTCCCATTGTAGCTGCTGCAGTCATCCTCTTTAAAGTAATAAAGTTATTCAAAGAATATTAGGGGCTTGTAATCACAAACACACACCTGTAAGAATTGGAGAATTGAAGAGATATCTGTCTATAACTTGGAAGATCATTCAGTAGTTAAACAAGTATGTGATTAGCAGATTCAAGACTGGCTATGAAATAGATACAGGCAGAAGTTGGACCATGCACATGCGAATAAGATGGAGCTTCTTCTTCTCAACACTTCTTAGTAAAATAAATTTCTTCAAATTCTCAGTTGGATTTCCTGTTAACTATCTTATTGTTTTCACAACCAAACACATTCTCTCGACATTAACTCTATCCAAACCTTTCATAATTCCAAAGACCTCAGTTAGGTCACCCCTCAACCTTCTGACGTTGAGATAAGAGTCCCGGCCAGCACATCCTTTCCTGATACGTGTGTCTGTACATTTCTGGTATCATCCTTGGAAATATTCTCTGCCTCTACAATTGTGTTAACCTGTTCAGGGATGTAGTGACACACTTCTGAAGGAGGTGGGATTTGAACCCCTGTCTTCTGATCTACCACTGCACCACAACCTCCAATACTCCTATATCCTTGTTAAATTATGGTGAATAGATTACAAACAGTACTCTTAATCATAGTCTAAGCAATATTTAACACAATTTGATCATAATGGCACCATTTTTCAGTTTTCTCCCTCCTCAGATGAAGCCTGGTGCTTGGTTTGTTTTTTTTTTTGTTGTAAGCTTCCTAACCTGTGGTACAATGTTTAGTCATTGGTAAATTTGTCTTTATTCCTTGACCCCACCTAAGCTCTCATTTTCCAAGTAATAAGAGATGTCCCTCTTCTTCCTCCCAAAGTAGACTACGTTAATTGGTTTTGGACTTTATTTGCCTGCTCTGCAAGTGTATTATTGCAGCTTTTCTCCTCTTTAACTACAACCACCCCTACATCCTTCAAATTTGTATTAACTGCATATCCAGAAATTTTTGATTCTAAATTGTTAATGTAAATTTTGTACAGAAATAAAAACGAAGTGCTGGAGAAACTCAGCAGATCTGGCAGCATCTGTGGAGAGAGAATCAAAATTAATGTTTTGGGTCCAATAGGAGTCCTCTCCAGAACCGATGAGGTTCTGCTCCAGGGGGAGATAGGAGGAAGTGTCTGGGAAGCGGCAATCAGTATCAATTTTGCCGGACCACAACAGCATCACCCCTGTCAGCGGGTTTAATCACAAAGTCAGGATTAGGCCTGAGAGAACAGGGGATAGCAAGTTCAAAGAGGCAGACAGGTTAGGGTGGCTGAGGAGAGCAGAGAAGTAAAAGCGGCAGGTGTCACATCTTCTCAAAGAGATGGAATGTAGGTCAGACAGGTGGAGGATTCCTGATGGAAGGAGAGTTTTGGAAGGTGAGAAAGTATCCATAGAGCAGGAAGAGGATTCCTGCCTAAATAAGTGGGCCCAGAGGCAAAGGCATCGAAAAAGATTTCAATGTCTTCTGCCTGAAATTCATTGAGGTGGGGTTATGATGGAATAAAACTGAGTTCTTTGCTGAGCACTGAATCATTCCATAGAGAGGTCAAGGTCCAAGGATGTACTGAATACATTACAAGAGGTGGGATAGAATGGAGTCTGAGGGAAGGGGAGGGGAGATAGAATCCAAAGGGGCTTTGATGTCTGAGAGTTGTTGGAGCTCATGTTCCTTGACATTGAAAAGGATAATCAGCACTGATCCTTGTTGGAGCACCAGTTCTCCACCTTTTTAGGGTGGAGGCAGCTCAGCAGTGCCACCAGCTGAAGTGGCTGCTACTAGTACTGTACATTCTATGAAAACATGCCACTGGGTAGTGTCAAATAGGAGAGACCCCATTTGATATACACACCCCCCCCAAAACACGCACAGTTTCAGTCCGCAGGGAAGGCTGGCAGAGTTGACCTGGTGGTTTCCATATATAATGGAAGGCCTATCCGGTACTGATAAAGTGCCAACTATAATGGGATGAGCCCTCGGTTGCTGTCGGCATCTCAGTGGGAAGGAAATTCCCTCCCTTCTTGTGGCCATTGACATAGCAGCAGAAAGATGTTCAATCCCACATCCCTGCATCCCCTCCCCATTTTACAGAGACCCTCGCCTCCAAGCCCATCCCTAGAGGGCTAGTAAACTTCAGCCCGTTTTGCGATAGGAGCCTCCTTTTTGTACTGCACTATTCGGATGTGAAATAAAGTAATATCTCCACATATTAACCTATGTTCAAGCCTATTCCACACACTCTTCCAGTTACTAGTGGCCAGTTATATGGTTGTTCTTTAGGCTCTTGTCAAGATGGATGGTGAAACTCTGATTTCTTTGCAATTATTCCTAGGGAAGCTGCAGCTTCAGCAAGCTACACAAGATCTTCTTCCAGAGCCACATCTTCCAATAAATCACGAACTCTCCAGCCTAGACCATGAGACCGCCCTTTACGAGTTCACTGAGGATACAGGTACATATTTCCCAGATACTGAAGTGGGGCAGGACGAATTCTGAGAAAAACTGGACCCAAGCAACAAGTCATGACAAGGTAGTCATATGCCTTGGCTATAGCCTTCACAATTAAACAGATGAGCTTCAAAGTAAAGTGAACCTTCCAGAGAATCCTGAGAATTGTGGATTCCTGTTCAAATGCCGATTCCACTGACATTGCCTGAAGGAAACCATTTCTCCTCTTTGTCATTCTTTCCCCCATGTCTTTCCTCCTCAATCTTTCATATTTGAGAAGGCTGGAGGTGATGAATTCTTGCACTTCAACAGGCTGGGTAAGTCAGTACTGCCAGGAAGTGGAGTGGGAGTTCTGGTGTACTAAACATTCTCTGCAGAGAAGAAATGAGCCTGTGATGGCTTTGTGCAACAGCACAGAGATCTCGTCCATAACTATTTTTTGCCTTGCGTGTAATTTGATCTTTTAAGGTTCTGTTTCAGAATGTTTGTGTGTTATACATCTAAGGCCAAGGAACAGTAACAATTTTATATGTGTACACTACAGCACACTACACTGCAAACATGCAGTTTTCTTACCTATTCTATATATCTTGCATTGGGTTTGATAGGGTTGGGTTTGATGTATTGACACCGCACTTGAATTATTTTTGATCAAGCTATTGTGATAAATCTTTACACATTCAATAAAAATGTTGAAGCAGCTTTTTATTATGTGGAATGAAGCTCAAGTTCCACAGATGTGTAAGCAATCTCAATATGGAGTGGTGGTCAAAGCAGAAATCCTCACTGCATTTAAAAAGTACTTGGATATATGCCTGAAATGTCATAACCTACAGGATTATGAACCAAACTAGAAAGTGGGACTAGGCTGAACAATTGTGCAGACACAAGTAACCTCCTTTTAGTCCATACGTTAGCTCCGTTTCAAAAAGAAAGCAGATTTGATTCTCAGCAAAAGTTGATTCTGGTCTCTGTGAGATAAGTTAGGATACACATATGAAAATGACGTGTGCATTGACATTTATGCTGCAAAGAAGTTCAAAAACAGCTTCTTCCCTGTTACTAATTAGACTGTTGAATGGACTCTCTAAATTCAAATAATGTCGATCTTGATAATGTTGATCTTGCTTCATGCAACTCCTGTACAGTGCATCCTGCATGCCTCACTCTGAGCAGCCTATGTTCTGTCTGTCCTTGCTTACTATGATCTACCTGTACTGCTCACAAACAAAGCTTTTCACTGGCCTACATGTGACAACAATAAAATCAAATCCAAATTATTTCACATCAAGGCAGTACTTACACCATAAACACAACTGGCACTGGTGCACACTCCACAATAAAGCAAAATGGAGGAGGTAATCTCACTCCTTATCACTTCGGATGCAATAAGGCATGACACCTTATTTACATTGACAGATTAAACATCAACATGAAGCCAAACTGGCTTTGCACCGCTGTTAAGCATACAGTACGGCTGCACCATAATGTTCCACAGCAAAACAAACTGAACCGAGCGATGGTTGGCAGTTCAGGAATCCACTGAATCTGAATACGAACTACTTTTCAGAGCATTCTCAGGAGCATATCATGATGTAATTACAATATTTATAAAACCAAAGTAACAAGATAAAATAGCCTTAAGGGATCTAACATGCTGGATACCAGAAGGGTTAAAATGGGCAATAATAAAGACACATTGAATGACAGCAATGCTGTGACAAGGTTTAAAATTTGAACCCACAGCACAGATTGCTCTTGAAATTGGACAGGTTCAGGCAGTTACTATCAAATTTTTTTTTCATCCTCGGAGAGTGAGAAGAGTGGAGATAAACAATTAAGTGTTGTCTCCCTTGTGGTGCCATGGAAAGGTGCAACAAAAAGGTGAGAGGGGGTTTTGCGGCCAATTGCAGAGTGAGCAAGGTTATTACAGAGGAAACTATCCCTTTGGAATATGCAAAAAGGAAGTGAAAATGTGTGTGTTGTTGGCATCATGCTGGAAGTGGCAGAAGGCAGCTGATGACAGCAGGTTGGTTAAATATGGAGATACTGAATAGAAGAGCTGGTGTGGAAGGTTGTGTCATCAAAACTAATGTGACAGAGCTGGAGAAACTCGGGAAAATGGAATGGTGTCTCTACAGGATACTACATGAATTCCTTAGAGTTTCATGGTATCAGGGAGTCCTCTGAAGATGATTCAGTTGTTTGATGTTCCCTTGTCTTGTTAAAAATACAGTTACTGCCATCGCCTGAAAAAGTGCAAATGATGTAGTGTTTCTGCTCAAAAACTACAGAAATTAAGTTAAACTTTAAATTCAGATGTATGGATTCAAGCAGTTATAGGCAAAGGAATTCTATTAAAGGTGGAAGTGATTTTTTTTTCTGATTGGAAAAGCTAATCATAGAACCTGTACATGTGGAAACAGGCCATTCAGCCCATCAAGTCCATGCTGACCCCTCCAAAGACTAGGCCTAACCCCTACCTATCCTGATAACACTGCACTTCCCATAGCAAATCCACCTAGCCTACACATCTCTGGACATTCTGAGTAATTTAACACAGTCAATCCATCAAACCTGCACATCTTAAGACTGTGGGAGGAAACCCACGAAGACGGAAAGAAATTGTGCAAACACCACACAGACAGTCGCCAGAGGTTGGAATCGAACCCGAGTGCCTAGCATTGTGAGGCAGCAGTGCTAACTGCTGAGCCACCGTGCTGCCCAAAGCCTATGATCATCTTGCATATTGGAAGGATGGTGTAAATGAGACAAAATAGGTCAGCTAAAAGTGAAC